ACATAGATGTCGGTAGACGTGCTACGGGATCCTCTTAAATTTGACACAATCGTGTGGTGTCCAGTCATCACCAAAGAAGTATTTAACGATGACAAGTATTTAAGAAAAAAAAAAGTATCTACATGTAGATACATTTTTTTTTTTCAAAAATTGTATTATTATCAACATGTCACTATCTCTTAATTATATGTGGCGATCGAACGAAAAACCAAGAATGTAATTTGGTTTTGAACCCAGGAGCTGCTAGGTCTTTGGATTACCAATCCAGCCGACAATCCTCTGCGCTACGATCGCCACAGGTTTATACAGCTATAATATGTATTATACACAACAACCTACCTGTGGAATCCGTTGGTGAAGGCAAGCTCTACGCTGGAAAATTCGGAAATGATTGGTACAGATATGCAAAACTTGTATCATCGCAATGTAAAAGAGATTGGTCAATGACAATGGTTAATAGCAATGTTTTAGTCACTTTAGAGTATACGTTACAAACATTATCAGCGAAAATGATATGTATCTGCATGTATATTTCTGCGACTACGGTGACGTTACGATCATGGTGGAAATACATATTTCCACCATGGTTACGATAATATCCCGCGACAATTTGCAGCCGTTGAAAAGCAACTTCATGAAATTGCCGTATCAGGCAGTAAAGGCTAAACTCATCGGTAAGAGAAAAGTATCTTTTTTTCCCTGCATAAATGCGTTAATTCTTTTTTTCTTAAATACTTGTCATCGTTAAATACTTCTTCGTAAAGAGTTCTAAGTGACTTTTAATGTTGATTAGCAATAGAGCCGATAAAGGGTGCAATAGTTTGACGCTCGAAGTGAGCGTCAAGCGTCAGCATGAAAATGCACCTTTACAAATAAAACACCGGCGTGGCCGCTCTCTCTTGGAAATGCAAAAGTCCAGCTGCAAATCCAATATGGGGCGAACAGTGGAAGGAACTGTGTTGGACCGCATTTGTTTTGTATAGGTATGTGAACGATTATCGTCGAAATTCGTGGTACTGAACGCGAAGCTTCGCCTGTTTTTTTTTGCAAGCTTAGAAATTTGCATCTTATATTTCGTTTTATTCGTTTCGTTTTACTTTGATTTATTCAGTTTCTCTCACTTAAATAATGCGAATTTGTTGTTGTCGAGAGAGGCGACATCAATTAGAAATTAGATCAATCCGTGCGTTCTTGATCACCGAGGCAGAAAGTATTCATTATGCGTGCGACGGAGGGGTTAACCTACAAAACGCGCTGACAAATCTGCGCGGCGGCGCGTGCCGCGCGCTACACTCGGCGGATTTCGTCGCTGAATTAACGAGCTTTTCTCGTCAGAGCGGATTCCGTCTCTTCGTCCCGGTGACCCCCGGGAGTCGGCGATAAGCAGATACCTAGGAACGCATCTATGCTGCGATCACGCTGAGGGGCACAGCCATGTCGGACCCGGATAAAAAGTCCTGCGAACCGTATCGCCAATTAGAGGAGTCGCATGGCGCCGAGCTGAACGTCGTCGGCGCCCAGAGCACGTCGAGCTGCCACCCGAGCCTCGAGAACGCCACCGAACGGTCGATGGAACTCTCCTCCGTTGTTGTTATACCCGACGGTACGTTACGCCAAACCGCAAACGTCTCCTGTACACATGTGAATAATGTAGCAAGGCCGCGTTCGGAAACGCCACCCGAGTGCCCCAGCTTGTCATTTTATTCTTGTTCGATTGTTAACAAGGATGAAAGGATAAAATATGCTGGAACACTCGTGTGGCATTTCCGAACGCAACCTGAGATTCAGTTTCACCAACGTTGTTTAACTGTAAGCTTAACTTAATTCGTTCTCTTCCCAACTGTTACTTTAGAAAGGGACAAATGTTAATTAAACTAAGACTAAAGTCAAGCGACGTTTGGTGAAGCCGGACCTAAGTAGCGTAGAAGTATGTAATGTATATTGCAGTGTTTAATTATCTGTCTTAATTGTACAGAGGGGTTTACCTAACTTTAACACGAGAGAAGAACCGTACGCTGTAAATACTTAATATCGCATGGTAATATAACACTGGGGAGACTGGTTTTACTAATGGCTACGTTAAGTTGTGGTAACATGGAACACTGCATAGTGTCGTTAACAGCAGTACACATTAGACATGCATGTGTGCAAGAAATTAGGTGTGTATCTTTTCCATGAATGGGTTTCTAAAGTTGCAGTCGAGCTGTCGTTGCAAATGCTTCGATAAGTTTCCCTTCTCCTTTGCGTCTTTATTTAAAGAAAGGAAAAGAACAATAACTTGAAAGCATTTGTAACAGCAGTTTGATCACTGCCTAAATGTACATAATGTATGAATATAAAGTATAAGCATTGTGCGAAACAATGCAGTAGTACTATACATGTATATAACAAATGTGATAAATCAAATCTTAATAATTATTCAAGTTAAATCTTATTGACAGACACCTTTACTGTGGTACAAGCCATCAATGCGTTAGGTTTTGGAAAATTCCAAGTGAAGTTGTCTTTGTTCACGGGTCTTTGCTGGATGGTGGATAGTATGGAGATCACAATACTGAGTATCCTGAGTCCGTCCTTGCATTGTGACTGGGGCATTTCTAGATACCAGCAGGCACTGACCACAACGGTACTTTTTCGGACTTGCGTAACTGTTCTTGTAAATAGGTGCGTAACGATGTCATTCAAATTTATTTTCATATTGGAAATTGAACTTTTAGGTGGTGTTTCTTGGTATGATGTTAAGCTCTACTTTCTGGAACAATTTGAGCGACAGATACGGTCGTAAGCAAGCCTTAACTCTGTGCGCGGTGCTGCTGGCCTATTACGCATTTCTAAGTTCATTTGCACCAAACTTTCTCTGGATCCTGTTGCTCAGAGGAGTTGTAGGGTTTGCTATTGGTTGTGTACCGCAATCGTAAGTATTTGGTAAGTTTCTTAAAGACGAACAATTAATTTGCTTTGAAATCCCTTGTTACCATTGATGCGTCTCTTTTCCTACAGAGTGACATTGTACGCGGAGTTTCTGCCAGCAAAGCAACGTGCAAGATGCGTTATCCTACTGGATGTAAGTTTATATTGTAACAATTTTTTTATCTTCTGACAACTTTATACTTTAAGCCTCTGAATTTTTTTGCTCCGATATTTTTCTTTTGGCAACCATTTTATTTTGTAAGTTCCTGTCTCATGCCTTCTCACTTGTTTACACTCAACACTAGTTTTAACTTCTCGGACAATTTTAAATTATACGTAGCCATACTGTCGCCGTTGTGTCTGTCTCCTCTTTTCTTCGTTTTATCGTCATAATATTCGGGACAAAAATTAATTGTTTTCGAGAGACAGACGGTTATAATCACATTTTATTTCAATATTCTGTTTGTAAATGTTGATCTGATTTATTTTTTAACGGTTTTTTTTACGAATCATATCTTGCACCTTATTGTTTTTTATAATACTGAAGAAGATCTGAAGTGGGTCGAAACGTCTAGAATATTTCTTTTGGTAATAAAGTATTTTATTAATAAAAAGTGGTACACCCCTTCCTTTTGGCGCTTTGGCTCACATTGGTCCTTTCCTCCAATTTGTTAATTTATATTATAAGTGTCCAGATAACTTGGTAAATACAATAAGAAGTATACATTTTGTGTTTGCTAGTGTTTTTGGGCTCTTGGAGCTTGTTTCGAAGTGGCGATTGCATTAATCGTTATGCCCAATTTTGGATGGAGATGGCTTCTCATATTATCGTCTATTCCGTTGTTTATATTTGCTGTAATAACACCGGTTTGTAGTAAATTTAAATATTTTCACTATATATTATTTAGAAATATTTTTGAAATAAATTACGTCATGTAATTCCGTACATTTGCAGTGGCTACCAGAATCTACAGTATTCGATATGACAACTGGAAGGACAGATCGTGCAATTTCGACATTGGAACGTGTAGCTAGAGAGAATAAAAAATCATTGCCTCTGGGAAGACTGGTTATGGATCGATTTTATCAAGGTCATCACGGTCGATTCAAGGATGTTCTAAGTAAAGAGATGTGCCGAACCTCTGCTTTACTTTGGCTTGTATGGTAAATAACCGCGATATAAATTAAGATTAAAAGTATTAAACAATTAATAAAATTTATGACTTTAATGTGAAAACACAAATACGAAGTAATAAAGGTATAAGAGCGAAGACAGGATGTCAGTGTATAAATTTTTATTTAAAGTCTATTACGAAAAATAATTCCTCAGCCAGAGTTTGAACCTGGACTTCCCTCACTAGGCGGGCGTCTCACCAATTCGACCACCGAGGCATGTGGTAACATTTATCACAATAAAGTCTAACGTTATTTCACGAAAGTCATGTGACTAAACTGCGACGCCCGCCTAGTGAGAAAAAGATCCAGGTTCAAACCCTGGCCAGGGTATTATTTTTCGTAATAGATTTTAAATTAAAATTACTTAGATACTGACATCCTGTTTTGGCTCTTATTCCTTTATTTGTAAAAGTATTAAGTTTATTTCTGCAATTATTTTATGGCTTTAGTTAATAGAATATATTCGTAGTATCTAAATTCTAAATATACATATGTTATATATATATATCTCTCTCTTTTTTTACAGGATGAGTACAGCGTTCTGTTATTACGGAGTAGTATTAATGACAACTGAACTTTTTCACACATCCTCGGAGCAATGCAGCACATGGGGCACAAAGAACGAAGAGAGCACCTGCCAACTTGACTGTCGATTACGACGTAGTGACTATATCGACCTACTTTGGACAACATTGGCAGAGTTTCCCGGCATATTTTCTACCGTTTTTGCGATCGAGAAAATAGGCAGGCGAAAGACAATGGCCTGCCAGTTAGTCATGTTCGCCATAGTAGTTTGCTTCTTAGGCAGGACCTGCTTGCTGAGCAGAGCAGTGTTGACCATTGCCGTGTTCCTAGCCAGAGGCTTGATCGCCGGTGTGTTTCAAGCTGCATATGTATACACGCCGGAAGTGTATCCCACGCATTTACGAAGTATAGGTGTAAGCGCGTGCAGCGCTATGGCGCGAATTGGTGCTATGATCACTCCGTACATAGCGCAAGTATTTCTGCAGTGGTCCATCACGGGAGCTATGATTATTTACGCGACGACCGCTTTGTGTGCTGCAATTGCCACACTTGCACTCCCCGTAGAGACGAAGAATCAACAATCAAACGATGCAAGTCAAGAAAATAGATAGTTATTCTTGCAATGAAGTATTTTAGCATTTTGGCAGAAATTTTACTATCCTATCGCATTATCTAGAATAATTTTATTCTTATTACTTTACGATATGTGTAATAACAAATATGTATAGTCATATTTTGATTAGAATTGAGAACTCATAGTTTGCGTATTCATGTATGACTATATATGTGAATAAGCAGCAGCTATTAATACTTTTAATTTATTATATATATTTTCTATTTATTATAGTTTTAACAAGGGACCTTTTTTCATTTGCACAAGGGTTTATTATCAAAATGTTAATTATAGATCACACAATATACAAACGCAAAGACTGACACGTATGCGACTTTCAAGAAAAGTGCCAAAAACAAATATTAATCATGAATATTTTATGTTTGTCCTTAATTTCATACATTTTAATTGTGAATCTGTTTTTGAAGATAATGATAATAAGTATTCGATAGCATAAATGAATAAAATTAGTTTAATATGATTGGCTCGTTAATAGACAATTATAAATTCAATTTAAACTAGTACTAATGACAAAGGTTGAAACAGATATCCAGGAGAGGAATCTATCATATGTATATGATGAGTCAAATTGAAAAGCTTTCAAATGCAGAAACTATCATTTTGTCTTAGCCACATCTTATGCTATTGGCTTTAAATTGATTTATATACATGTTATTTATATTATACGTACATTACATAATAATAAAAGGCTATGAGAGTCAAACGTAGGTAATCGCATGCATGTGATATTTAATATAAATAATTTTAAGTACATGAACACAAAACAAGTATAAAATAAGTTTGTCTTCGCGCATTTTATCCCAATTATATTGTGTCGAGAATTGATAAATCCTCCCACGAAATGGTTCTCATTTCTAATGTTTATATAAAAATTTATAATGTCGAAACTGAAGATACCGCTTCTTTACTCTACGATATTAGAATGGGAACCATTTTGTGGGAGCATGTATTAATTCTCACGACACAATTGGATAAAATGCGTGTAAACAAACTTAATTTTATACTTATTTTGTATTCATGTACTGAAGATTATATTAAATATCACACGCGTGCGACCACCTACCCCATACAGCACGGAAATATTACAGCAACGTTGCAGAGACATTGTTTTGAAAGATTGCATCATTGCAGCAAAATTGCGAAATGTTGCTGCAATATTGTAGCTACATTGCAGCAACATTAGAATGTCCGCCCTCAGCAATATTTCAATGTAACAGTGCAGCAATGTTGCAATACAACTACGCAGCAATATGAAAATGCAAGACTGCAGCAATATTGCAATGTAACAATGTAGCCAAAATGCAATAAAATGCAATAAAACGTACGTATGTATACAGGGTGATAGGAAACAACCCTGATCCTTGAAAAGATATAATCCTGACGAGATTCTGAGACGATTATTCCTTTTACAAAACTTTATCCAAAATCTAGTTTTTGAATTATAAAAGGCAATAGTTTTCTTATCACGAGTTGAATACAGGACGTAGGCAATAGCGACGCAATTTACTGCGTTATACGTGGTCCCTTATATTAGGTGGCTGTCAGTTGGTCACGTCTGACGGTGAGTTGCGCCGCCACAGCCTGTTTTCTGCATTCAACCTGTGATAATAAGATAACTATTTCCTTTCATAATTCAAGACTATATTTCGGATAAAGTTTTGTAAAAGAAAAAATCGTTTCAGAATCTAGTCAGGATTACGTCTTTTGAAGGACACAGGGTTGTTTCCAATCATCCTATTATATATGTAATAAATACACAGGGATGTATTATTATATATTATGAAAAAAGGGTTGAACCTGTATGTTTTAGAATGATTTACGAGTTGCATGTGTTATAGCTGTATCTTGTGAACTCAGTAAACCCGATTAACGTTGTATGTACGCCGTAAAAAATATTTATACTGTATAATTGCAAGTTAATGTTTTTGTAATACAGTTGCAACATTATAATAGTGATATTGCACAATATTGTATTTGCAGTGTAGCTGCAATATTGCAGATTTAATATTACGCAATATTGTGTTTGAAATATTGTTGCACCATTGCATTTGCAATATGCAATCTTGTAACGTTGCAGCTTTTGTGCTGTATGGGACGTGACTCACATAGCTTTTTATTATTACATTTGATTTATATCCACGTAGTTTTCACCTTGGTTTGTTATAATTATCTGAACAAAACAGGTTTAAAAAGTACTCCAAGATGTAATCTTTCGCATATCAATTTTTACAACTTTGTACCAGATAAATACAATAAATAAAATTTTGTAATGTTCAAGTGTAATATCCTGTCTCTCTCATCCGGCGTTTGGCGACGTGAATGAAATAAAATGACATTCAAGTATAATATTTATTATAAGTGTAACACTAAAATCAGTAAACTAAATAAAGTAACTTTATTAAAGTCTATAAATGCAGACAAAGTGCATTACAAGCCATTATGCTGATAAGAACCATTGTCACTTTTTTCCTGATATATATTTAACACGTGTTTCCCATAAGTTATAGCATCAACAATCGAATTATGCATTAGAAAAATATATCCCAGCAAACACAGAATATAAATGTTATATAACCTAGGAGTAACATGTAATATAACAGATGTTACACTGTGTTTATATTACAGCTACATAACTTAACATTATATGTGCAATATACCAAAGTTCTGAAACTATTACATTATTCCGTTATTTTTATGTTATAATAAACGAACAGTAATGTAACTGCAATGTCACGGGTTATATAACAATTGTTATGTTAATATTATATTCATGTAATATAACTTGAATTACGCGGGACTCTAACCTAGTTCCACACAGCAACCGCAAGCTACGTCGCGCGCGGCGCGCTACTTGCTTCCGTTTCCGTTTTCCGGATACGTGCTTGTTCTTTTCTCATGGCGTCCTGTGGCTGTAAGCAACGTGAAGCACCAGTCAGTGATCCCAGATTGCGGGATTTCTGGCGCACGCGCAGTAGCGCAAGCCTTTCTGCCATGCGCATAGTGATCACGTGACTACCATGAAAGACTCGTACATACAGGCAACGTGGGGGGTTTCTAGGAACCAGTGTTCTTTACTATTCAATTTTACATCGATTTTTTTATTAAAACTCATATTAATGATTTATATATTATATAGAGCAGTTTATTAAACATTTATTTAATTGATAAAAAACTTTTTGTACGATATTTTCTATACTCTTCTTGTAAGGGTTCTATCTAAACCCTCAAGTTAAGAAGAACGTATACGCTACTGAGCGGCTGCTCAAGCTTGCGCTACTGCGCGTGCGCCAGAAATCCCGCAATCTGGGATCACTGGCACCAGTTCCGTCTGAGCCGTCGAGCTTATATATGTTCTGTGCGTCAAGCGGTTCACGCGTCTTCCGACGGGGGATGGGTTTTTGATCCTGCGGGATTGCATCGTCCCGCGTGTGGCCCGGTTGCCGGGCCGTTGCATCGTTCAATTCGCTACATTCCAGGCGGTGGCATTGGGTCTATTGGTTCGACGTGGCCGTGTCGGCTCAGTGTCTGTGAGCCGGGAGCCAATAACCAGAGAAGAAGAAGAACGTGAAGCACCAAGTTCCGTTCGGGACGTTGGGCGAGCCGCACGTCTTCCGACTGGGAAGAGAGATTTTTGATCCTGCGGGATTGCATCATCCCGCGGACTTAAAACATTGGAGGACGATTGGTTAGACGTGGCCGTGTCGGCTCAGCGATTGAGCCGGGAGCCATTGGATAGAGAGAGGGAGGGAGAGAGAACGTGAAGCACT